CCAGATTGTCAGAAGGGCTGTATTCCTGGCAGCAAACCCAGGTACGATCCCAATGTAAGTCAATAGATTGGGAGATGCCAAACTTATGGCACCTAGAACAATGGGGAGTCCGACAACTTGGTACTTGGGATGCAAGCGTGGCTTTTCGAAATCGAGATCCGCATATTGGCCATGTTTTTCCTGAATCTTGTCATTCACATTAGTGTCAAATGGAACAAAAATTTCAATGATAGAAATGATTCATTGGATTTATCAAAAAGAACAAGATCAGGTTTGTTGGCCTGGATAGGTCTGAGGCTGTATAGGGGCCTATTCCACAGAATTTTGTATTTATCATTTTCCATGACGCCCATTTTGGGTCGTACCATGGATGGAACTCAATGACAAAACCACAAGCATTGCGAAGACAGTAATACAATGATCGAGCCACTCCATCATGTCGCTCAAGATACTGTGTTTGTGCCAAAGCTGGGGATCCACTGACAATGTGTTGGGCAGTCTAATTAAATTCATTGCATATTCTATATTTCATATTTACATTTTGATGCAAAACCACACATTGACGGTTTCGAGTGGGAAGTGACTGGTCCTGAGCAGCAAACAGTAAGCCTTCTGTTTCACTTTTCAGGCCAGTCGACTTCATCCAAGCGAAAGACGCTGCAGGGTTGCTGATCTTCTCAACACACTGTACATGAACTCGATGCAGTGGTCGTTCTGATCGCCTCTCCTTGAAAGTCTGAGCTGATTTGATAAGGCACTTCGTTTGGCTGACACTCATTTCTGTACCGTCCAGCAGTACAGAACCATCAACAAAATCAACACGATTGAGGGAAGAGCGAGGTTTGTGGGATCTATTGTCTGACATGATTCGTCTTGTGAGGGCGTTACTACCGTGAATTTCTTGTTTCGTATAATCAACAACACCAAAAGAATATGAAAGGACGGGTACAGCATAAGTATTTGTGGCTTTAATTTTATTGCGAGCGTTCAGCGCCGAACTCCTGGGCCCACTTGCACAAAGCGATCTTAGCGCTAAGAAGACCTTAACTCCCATACTTTAACAAAGGCTTACAATAGTCTTAGCGCTAAGATCGCTTTGTGCAAGTGGGCCCAGGTATCCAGGTACTATTATCTGCTCAAATGCGTATTTGTTCCCCGACCAGTTTGCATTCCAGTTATCATTCTCAACTCCCTTGGGAGTATACAACTCAAGCTGAGTTTTTACATCCACTTCACATGTAGAGTACCCATTCCCTGCTGGGTGAACAGAGGCAGAAATGTGTCTGCGGCGTAGAATAATGCTCACTCACTCTTTCAGCATTACGCTCTGTATGACAACATGTAACTATTTCTTAACAGCTTATTTCAGTTGAATATATCAGAGGATCTACTGATATACAGAAGCAGTGGGAGTCTTGTTGGGATGTGTTCGCAGGCAGAGACATCGGACAGAATCAATAGCAGCGTCATGTATTTGCCACGTAATTTGATAATTGGACAATAAGTTAATCAACACACAAATAGAACGGGGATTGATTAGATATATTTGTAAGATATAACATGTAGATAGTGTAGGCGGTCGGTGCCATTACTAAAATCATTAGCTCCACAGTACCGCGGGGAGTTTCCGCAAGGTGTCAGGAGAATTCACAGGGAAACACTTGGCTTTCATTTACAAAAATTTCGTTGCCAAAAAAACCATAGTTAACTCAATTAAGCATGTATTTCAAAGCGGCACTTCATTAACAAGCCCCAAATGAGAAGATGACACACAGCATGAATGATGTCATGCCTGCAACATCTTTACTTTTACATCCGAATTGCCAAGCCATATCTAATTATGTTAGTTAGAAAATAATCTGCCCCTACCAATGTTGTCAGATGGTCAGGCTGGCTGACTTCGCTGATGCATGTCATCGTATCACAATTGCGTATATCGATGCTCATGAGGTGAGGTGAAATCGGGTTTAACGTTGCGTCCATGATTATTGCACTTATATAGCGACATGCATGTACGTGTGTGTGTTTGTGTGGCTGCTTGTACTAGTCCGGACTGATGCCGATTTATAGTGCTAGCTCACTGAGATACCATGCTGCAGTTTAACATGAATACCCCACTCAGACACAGTATACTGACTCCGAGCCGACCAGTCCTTGTTTTAGCCCCTTAATGCCGAGCACCAGAAAGGGTAACAACAAGTACCAGCTTTTAACGTCTTTTGGTATGACGCGGTCGGGGATCGAACCCCGGACTTTCCGCTCTCCGGGCGGATGCTCTACCACTAGACCACGGAGGCGGTATCGATGCTCATGATGTCAATCACTGGATTGTGTGGTCCAGACTCGATTATTTACAGTTCGCTTTTATACAGCTGGACTATTGCTAATTGAGGCGTTAAACAACAAACAAACACAATTTTATGGAATAAGTGTTGGTTTGGTAAGGACGGTTATCTCAAAACTTAAGTTTTCGATCTAATCGCTTATTTGGATCGTGTGGTAACACTCAGTGATTTGCTTGATGTTGTGTCATAGTAGCCCATGGTACGTTGCACATTAAATCACTGGTTTGTCTGAACAGATTCAATTATTTACTAGCTGCCTTGGTATAGCTTGAATGTTCCTGACAACGGCGTGTAACAACAAACACAGAAACATGACTACCTCGCTGGCCTAGGTATAGTTCAGATACTTAAAAGAGCACAGCGGACCAGGATGGACAAGTTGTTGTCTTAAAACCTGAGGGAACTTTTGTACCCGTATTTTCACGCCTCACATGGTTATTGTGCATGACGAAACTGTGAAAAACGCATCACGTTGTCACTGTGCATGAAAAAAGCTATGAACACATAAATGACTCACGTTGTCATTGTGCATGAAGAAGCTATGAACACAGAAATGACTCACGTTGTCATTGTGCATGAAGAAGCTATGAACACAGAAATGACTCACGTTGTCATTGTGCATGAAGAAGCTATGAACATAGAAATGACTCACTTTGTCATTGTGCATGAAGAAGCTATGAACACAGAAATGACTCACGTTGTCATTGTGCATGAAGAAGCTATGAACACATAAATGACTCACGTTGTCACTGTGGATGAAGAAGCTATGAACACAGAAATGACTCACGTTGTTACTGTGCATGAAGAAGCTATGAACACAGAAATGGCTCACGTTGTTACTGTGCATGAAGAAGCTATGAACACAGAAATGACTCACGTTGTCATTGTGCATGAAGAAGCTATGAACACAGAAATGACTCACGTTGTCACTGTGCAAGAAGAAGCTATGAACACAGAAATGACTCACGTTGTTACTGTGCATGAAGAAGCTATGAACACAGAAATGACTCACGTTGTCACCGTGCATGAAGAAGCTATGAACACAGAAATGATTCACGTTGTCACTGTGCATGAAGAAGCTATGAACACAGAAATGACTCACGTTGACATTGTGCATGAAGAAGGTATGAACACAGAAATGACTCACGTTGTCATTGTGCATGAAGAAGCTATGAACACAGAAATGACTCACGTTGTCACTGTGCATGAAGAAGCTATGAACACAGAAATGACTCACGTTGTCACTCTGCATGAAGAAGCTATGAACACAGAAATGGCTCACGTTGTTACTGTGCATGAAGAAGCTATGAACACAGAAATGACTCACGTTGTCACTGTGCATGAAGAAGCTTTAAACACAGACATGACTCACATTGTTACTGTGCATGAAGAAGCTATGAACCCAATTGACTCCCGTTGTCATTGTGCATGAAGAAGCTATGAACACAGAAATGACTCACGTTGTCACTGTGCATGAAGAAGCTATGAACATAAAGATGACTCACGTTGTCACCGTGCATGAAGAAGCTATGAACACAGAAATGACTCACATTGTTACTGTGCATGAAGAAGCTATGAACACAAAAAATACTCACATTGTCACTGTGCATGAAGAAGCCATAAACACCGAAGTGACTCACTTTGTCACTGTGCATGAAGAAGCTATGAACATAGAAATGACTCACGTTGTCACCGTGCATGAAGAAGCTATGAACACAGAAATGACTCACGTTGTCACTCTGCATGAAGAAGCTATGAACACAGAAATGACTCACGTTCACACTGTGGATGAAGAAGCTATGAACACAGAAATGACTCACGTTGTCACTGTGCATGAAGAAGCTTTAAACACAGAAATGACTCACGTTGTCACTGTGCATGAAGAAGCTATGAACATAGAAATGACTCACGTTGTCACTGTGCATGAAGAAGCTATGAACACAGAAATGACTCACGTTTTCACCGTGCATGAAGAAGCTATGAACATAAAAATGACTCACGTTGTCACCGTGCATGAAGAAGCTATGAACACAGAAATGACTCACATTGTTACTGTGCATGAAGAAGCTATGAACACAAAAAATACTCACATTGTCACTGTGCATGAAGAAGCCATAAACACCGAAGTGACTCACTTTGTCACTGTGCATGAAGAAGCTATGAACATAGAAATGACTCACGTTGTCATTGTGCATGAAGAAGCTATGAACATAGAAATGACTCACGTTGTCACCGTGCATGAAGAAGCTATGAACACAGAAATGACTCACATTGTTACTGTGCATGAAGAAGCTATGAACACAAAAAATACTCACATTGTCACTGTGCATGAAGAAGCCATAAACACCGAAGTGACTCACTTTGTCACTGTGCATGAAGAAGCTATGAACATAGAAATGACTCACGTTGTCACCGTGCATGAAGAAGCTATGAACATAGAAATGACTCACGTTGTCACTGTCCATGAAGAAGCTATGAACACAGAAATGACTCACGATGTCACTGTGCATGGAGAAGCTATGAACACAGAAATGTCTCACATTGTTACTGTGCATGAAGAAGCTATGAACACAGAAATGACTCACATTGTTACTGTGCATGAAGAAGCTATGAACACAAAAAATTACTCACATTGTTACTGTGCACGATGAAGCTTTAAACACAGAAATGACTCACGTTGTCATTGTGCATGAAGAAGCTATGAACACAGAAATGACTCACGTTGTCATTGTGCATGAAGAAGCTATGAACATAGAAATGACTCACGTTGTCATTGTGCATGAAGAAGCTATGAACACAGAAATGACTCACGATGTCACTGTGCATGAAGAAACTATGAACATATAAATGACTCACGTTGTCATTGTGCATGAAGAAGCTATGAACATAGAAATGACTCACGATGTCACTGTGCATGAAGAAACTATGAACATAGAAATTACTCACGTTGTCATTGTGCATGAAGAAGCTATGAACACAGAAATGACTCACGATGTCACTGTGCATGAAGAAGCTATGAACACAGAAATGACTCACATTGTCACTGTGCATGAAGAAACTATGAACATATAAATGACTCACGTTGTCACTGTGCATGAAGAAGCTATGAACACCGAAATGACACATTGTACTCTGCACGAAGAAGCTATAAACATAGAAATGACTCACGTTGTCACTGTGCACGAAGAGGCTATGAACACAGAAATTACTCACATTGTTACTCTGCATGAAGAAGCTATGAACATAGGAATGACTCACGTTGTCATTGTGCATGAAGAAGCTATGAACACAGAAATGACTCACGTTGTCATTGTGCATGAAGAAACTATGAACACAGAAATGACTCACATGGCTACTCTGCATGAAGAAGCTATAAACACAGAAATGACTCACGTTGTCATTGTGCATGAAGAAGCTATGAACACAGAAATGACTCACATGGCTACTCTGCATGAAGAAACTATGAACACAGAAATGACTCACGTTGTCACTGTGCATGAAGAAGCTATGAACACAGAAATGACTCACGTTGTTACTCTGCACGAAGAAGTTTAAACACAGAAATGACTCACGTTGTCACCGCGCATGAAGCAGCTATGAACATAAAAATGACTCACGTTGTCACCGTGCATGAAGAAGTTATAAACACAGAAATGACTCACTTTGTCAATGTGCATGAAGACATAGAAATGACTCACTTTGTCACTGTGCATGAAGAAGCTATTAACACAAAAATGACTCACGTTGTCACTGTGCATGAAGAAGCTATTAACACAGAAATGACTCACGTTGTCACTGTGCATGAAGAAGCTATGAACACAGAAATGACTCACATGGCTACTCTGCACGAAGAAGGTATAAACAGAGAAATGACTCACGTTGTCATTGTGCATGAAGAAGCTATGAACATAGAAATGACTCACGTTGTCATTGTGCATGAAGAAGCTATGAACACAGAAATGACACACTGTTACTCTGCACGAAGAAGCTTTGAACATAGAAATGTCTCACGTTGTTACTCTGCACGAAGAAGCTTTAAACACAGAAATGACTCACGTTGTCACCGTGCATGAAGCAGCTATGAACATAAAAATGACTCACGTTGTCACCGTGCATGAAGAAGTTATAAACACAGAAATGACTCACTTTGTCAATGTGCATGAAGACATAGAAATGACTCACTTTGTCACTGTGCATGAAGAAGCTATGAACACAAAAATGACTCACGTTGTCACTGTGCATGAAGAAGCTATGAACACAGAAATGACTCACTTTGTCAATGTGCATGAAGACATAGAAATGACTCACTTTGTCAATGTGCATGAAGAAGCTATGAACATAAAAATCACTCACGTTGTCATTGTGCATGAAGAAGCTATGAACACAGAAATGACTCAAGTTGTCACCGTGCATGAAGAAGCTATAAACACCGAAATGACTCACATGGCTACTCTGCATGAAGAAACTATGAACACAGAAATGACTCACGTTGTCAATGTGCATGAAGAAGCTATGAACACAGAAATGGCTCATTTTGTCACGTTGCATGAAGAAACTATGAACACAGGAATGACTCACGTTGTCACTGTGCATGAAGAAGCTATGAACACAGAAATGACTCACGTTGTCATTGTGCATGAAGAAACTATGAACACAGAAACGCATCACGTTGTCACTGTGCATGAAGAAGCTATGAACACAGAAATGACTCACGTTGTCACCGTGCATGAAGAAGCTATGAATACAGAAATGACTCACATGGCTTCTCTGCATGAAGAAGCTATGAACACAGTGACACCTCACATTGCTGACGGTCATTACGTTTTCTGTGACTAAAGATGGGCCACAAATTATTATTTATCATGTTCATGCCATTTCATAATGTTATCCGGTTTATGTCAAATACTTAACTGGCATACCCCCAACAGAAATAAATGCGACAAGACCATCATAAGAAATCTCTGCAGAAAACATTATTTGGTATTCATCAATACAATTAAGTAGCAATGTTCATATTCTTTGATGAGGTAATTTAATTAGAAAGCGTGATAACATACGTCCAATAACTCTTCGCAGTTTGATAAACTCACTTATCTTGATCAAACTGAAATATGGTTATCTTTTAAATGTCCACTGAAAATAAACATATTAAAATTAAGCTTCAAAACCAATACAACTGGGGATTTTGTTCACAGAATGTACGGATACTCCAGTGCGAGCGCCCCTTTCTAACCCCAATCATCAAGATTTCTCTTTTTAAACTTAAGCATCAATTTACAGGATGTTTATATCATTCCTAAAATTATAGCACAGCAGAGGATGAAATCAAAGCGACAGATGTGTGATTTCAAGTCATCTGTTGAATTTGTTTTGGGCAAGATTACTAGACTAACATGTTTCACTGAAAGACCACATGAACGCAGAAATAGTCCTCGTGAGGACGTTTTGACCCTATTTGCTTCAGAACGATTTGCGTGTGTATATCTAGTCAAAACCCTGGGAGACTTAGGATTACCATCAGACAACATATGTGTACTGCGAGTTTCGTGTTCTTTTTATATGTGAGAAATATAAAAAGTTGAGATCACAGTTTCTATCTAATTTAGATATTACACACAAAGACAATCAATGAAAGATCAATTTGTTGAATTCGACCAATGAGCATGTTATCAAATCTTTAGCAATGTATTAAAAACATGTATTTAGACTCAGGTGAATATATATTATGCTCTGTTCAAGATCACGTTGAGTTTCAGGTATCTGTTAAAACTTAACTGTACAGAATAAACTCTCTGTCTGTCTGTCTGTCTGTCTGTCTGTCTATCTGTCTGTGTACTGCAGTTTCCAATGTGGGCAATGCTCCGACGTTCGTGATTATTGTACCTGATAAATTAGAACATCAAATAATTGTGATCTGGAGCTGGCGAGCGAGATGGTTGAATATTGTTCAGAAATAAAGTGTTACCGATCCCATTCAGGCAGAGAAGGATTGCTTGTACCAGTCCATGGTACATATCGCTCTTTATTCATTCTGAAAAGAATAAAAATTGTATAATGTTACATAAACGCATCAGTGTAGTAATGAATCTGGGAGACTCCTCACTACTATATAGATATACGGACGATATGTACCAGAGGAACCAATTGAACTTGGTCTTTTTCCAAATAATTTTTTTCTAATTTACAACAAATTTGATGTATCTTTTGACTTGTCGATAATGATGAAATGAAGGAGGCATGGATTGTTTGGGGCGTGATGTTTCTGTTAATCAGATCTCCCACGCAATGACCAAGACGCAACCGGGTAAACTTGTACTTCCAAGTGCATTTGACTCTCGTTAGATAGACCCCGATCAATGAGAGAAACCAGATAATATATTGACTAGGTCTCAGGGGAATCCCTCTATATTTATCATCATTAGATTTCTAATAACAAGAATCGTTCGAGTAGAAATTGCAGATCAGTGGATATATATGCTGGGTCCCCTGAAATACTTTTCATGGACAATTGATCGTTGACTGGAAGCGTGCATTTCACTGCTCGCATTTGTATTGACTAAACTAGGTGTATGACGATTCATCGAATTTTCGATGCATCGCAATAGTTTGTGCCTCGTAGGTATCTAGTATCGATACAACGCAATATATATGTTAATGTTTACGCCTGTAATATATCTAATGGCGATATTGATAATTGTATAAAAAATTAAGTTTCTTTATTATTAATTTGCTCAAATCAAGTAAAAATGTTTTGATTTGGTTTCTTTTGAATCCCGTTTATGGCGGATGATGGCTCTACTAACAATCCTCATCAACACCCAACTTTCCACTCTACGGTACATTGTATACCCGGGCATGCCTAGGGAATGATACTAAAATATTAGAATGTTCAGATTGTTCAATCTCTTTTGGAAAATTATATGATTCTTATGGCTTCTCAATAAAGGTATGCAAATCACATACGCAGCCACATAAACTGGGATTAAAAGTACGACTTGTGTTCTCAAACATCAGTCTATGTGTGTATATTAACACGTCCGATTATAATTCTGGAAACCAATTTGTTCAGAAATGCTCTCGGTGCTGTGGCCAGTCTCGGACAGAGGTATTTACAAAATTCAACATCCAATTTTCATGTACTGTGGAATTTTTGAAATTCAAAACTTAAACTATGTCTTCCAAGGGCAGGACTTAGATTCAGATCAATTTGAGTAATAATATTTGCATCTATTTCACACAAATGTACAAGCAGCTTATACACATGACTAATTTCATGTACTGAGAAAAAAATGAAAATAAATGTATCGAAAACTCAAAACTTAAACTATATCGTCCATGGGCAGGACTTAGATTAAGATCAATGTGAGCAATAATATTTGCATCTATGTCACGCGAATGTACCAGCAGCTTATACTCATGACTAATTTTCATGTACTAAGGGGATAAAATGAAATGCAAATGTATCGAAAACTCAAAACTTAAACTGTATGGTCCATGGGTAGACCTTAGATTAAGATCAGTGTGAGCAATAATATTTGCATCTGTGTTACACGTATGTACCAGCAACTTATACACATGAGTAATTTTCATGTACTAAGGGAAGTCTTGCTTGACAACGGTATAAGGATCTATACCGAAACGTCGCCTTTACAGTATTAAATAAGTTGTGTCTACTTTCTCATCCGTAAGTAACTTCTAATTAATGCCTATCAAACAATTAAAAACATATGTTGTCGCCGATAACATCTGAAAAGGGGATAACAGTTATCAGATTATGATTAGACCTTAATTGCATTGCAACACATAAAATTAGATGTACAAGTAAGATTAAAATGAGTCAAAGGGCGGATTTTAAAGGAGCCTTTTTTAATTTGACTGTAAAACCAGAAGATATGTCCATTTCATCTTTGTACCATATTCCAAAGCTTCATAATAATATGTACAATGAGCGATAAAACCAGGGACAAAGCAAGTATACCGAGTCTGTCTTTAAAGTAATTAAAAACATTTGATTATGTCTATTTAACCATCACTCATTACTGCAACAGTTTGTTAAAAAACGTAATCTTTGGGTGGATAATTTTGAGTCAAAATAAATTGATTAAATAAAGACTTGGGTAAGAAATGAATTTGCAACACATACCATGTTTGAAATATTGTACGTTCGAGCAAAGTTATTGATTTTCAAAGATAGGATGTTTAACATACTCATATCAGCAGTTGTGTATCATGCGAAAGCAGTTTTTAAATTTTTAAATTAAATAAACACATTTAAATAAAACCATATAGGATTATTCTGCGAGGGCTGACTCAGCGCCAGTATAGCTCATTTTTTGGATATAATATCGGTTCCTTAAGATATATTCAATTGAAAACAAACATATGATACAATCAACTGAGAGGTATAGTTTCTTTTGTTCCTCAGTTTATATTGCAGGTCCGGCAAATATACCACAAACTACCTGTCTAAATTATTAACTATAAAGGACTTTTCTGTATATGACGAGAAACGTATTTAAAAGTTCAAAACATTGGATTTGTGCCTAGTACACACAATTATCTCGGACGCCAACGTAAGGGAAAACTTCATTTATTGATTTATGGGGCATTTGTCTCAAAAACTCAAAGGATTTGCTTGACTTTTTACAATCACAGAAAAGAACCAAGTTCAGTTCTGTTAAAACATTTGATTTCTCGACTTTGTACAACTCTATGCGACTTGGCAAACTTAAGGAAACCCTTCATTCCTTGATCCATGGGGCTTTTTGTCACACAACTTGGTGAGCAAAGATGCACAACATCTCTATCTTCAAATGTTCAGGACAATTTCTCAAAATTGAAAGCAATGCCTTCAGAGGTTTACTGACAAAATAAAATATATATAAATTGCTGGACGTCCTCATTAATAACATCTATACGGAAATGTGGGATCGGACAA